TGATAATTGACAAGATCATTCGGCTAGTTAGTTCATGAGTGAATGAGATCCAGTTTTTAATATGATGACATCCAATTCCCGTAGATGGCTCGAGTTAATATCATCATACATGGTTGGCTAGGTGATGATAGATTTTTTCTTTGGAATATACCACTGAGACAATTATGGAAACGCAAAAACTCCTAGTTTTGGAAATCAAATAAGATTGTTACAACTCCACAGTGAAACGCCATGGACAATCGCAAGGCAACAAATGGCTAAAAGCTTGCATATTAAAGCTAAAATTTTAACTTTCATGGTGCTTCCTATAGTCCCCCTTTGCTCTGATCCTGCATTTCTTGGATTTGTGGGAGCATTCGCAGGATTTGTTTTGTTTAGCTGCAAATCCATGTATGGGCTCACTGTACAAAAACAAGCTTCCACCCCTTGTTGTGGCGCTGCAACTTGCAAGAATAATCGTATCATCACCAAAGCATGCAGCACATCATCGTCCTCCATCTAACAACAATTGCTGCATTGTGAGTGGAATGTGGGACATGTTTTTGGACGAGTCCAGGTTTTTTTGTGGCACTGGAAAAGATACTTGTTCTTTATGCTTGGAGATCGACCACTATCATGGACTGAGACCAACTCGGAGTCGACCCCTAAGATCTTGGACTGAAGAATATGCAAGAAAGCTCTATTGTGACACCTAAGTATCAGCTGCATTTTAGCTGTATATCACTCCAAATAAATACGGTGAACATTTGTTGTTAGCAATGTATTGCCAGGTTCCTGCAAATGTGTGCTACTCTTATGATGTGTTTAATTGCAAGAAGAAAGTTTACGTGGGAAGAAAATAAATTCTAGTAAACTGAATTGATTAGAACTTATTTGCGTGAAAACTATTAATTAAATGTATTTGATAGATTTAATTTTCAGCCTATAAAATGTCATACTTATCCATATTTTATGGATATGTAGATAAAAGAGAGAGAATATGTGAGAGAGAGAGAGAGAATTGTCTTGAAAATAAAGACCCACTCCTCCAAATAAAAATATTTTCCTTGTTTTTGAGGAAAATATGTCTATATTTGTCATCCATTTTATTAAACATTGTTTGCTACAATAAACAACCTCCATCACATATTCAATCAAACCCTATTTGAGCCAAATTATTATAAAATGAGAATGAAAAATATAGCCGTTATTGGGACCCACACAAGAGATAGAAAATTTGAATTTAAATGTTGATGTGATGGATAACGGTCATATTTTTCATTTTAATGAGATAATAATGTAGATCAAATGAAGGCTCAATAAAATATTCTACACAAAAATCAATAAACTTATTTTACTTTTCTACCACACATTCTCCAAAAAATACTATTCAAAACTCTATTTCTTCTCCCAAAATGGGAGACAAACAAGCACTATATTCACGTGATCAACTTTTGGAAAATATTTTCCCGGGAAAAAAATATCAATCAAACGCTCCNAACATTGTTTGCTACAGTAAACAATCTCCACCACATATTCACTCAATAAAATATTCTACACACAAACCAATAAAATTACTTTACTTTTCAACCACACATTCTCCAAAAAATACTATTCAAAACTCTATTTCTTCTCCCAAAATGGGAGACAAACAAGCACTATATTCACGTGATCAACTTTTGGAAAATATTTTCCCGGGAAAAAAATATCAATCAAACGCTCCAAAAGTTGAAACTTGGGTGGAAAACGAACATTTCCACGGAAAATAAAGACAATCAAACACACCCTTAATCTCATAAAATTACTTATAATGAATGCCTATTTCGTGAAGGAGGGGCCACAGTGACCATGCCTGAGTGACGTTTACCATGACAGACTGACAGTTCTATGCTAACTAGTAAGACTATACAGAGCGCTAACACTTCTCAGACTTACCCGAATGAACTCAATCAAGCAGAAA